AAGAGTGAATCAGTCTAAATGAGAAACAGAGCTCATGCTTTTAATCCCAGAACTAGAGAGGTATATAAAGAAGACGCAAAATCAGTCTCCAGCCACTGGCAATTAGTCTCCAGCCACGGTGAGGACAGGAAGAGATTTATTTTCCAGCCATAGGGAAGGCAGGATCTTCAATTCAGTCTTCTTAGAGGTAAGAGCTACTGACTGGATGCTTTGCTTCTCTGATCTTCAGCTTGAATTCCAATATCTGTCACTGGGTTTTTATTAACTTATTAAAAATTTCTACTTCCCAAAGGGTAGCCTCTTCATTATATCCAACATGGCTTCTTTCTTTATTAGGTTTAATTCACCTGGAGAATGTATTGTGACCTCTAATTTGCTGTCATTAGAGATAAAATAATTACTCAAATCTGTGTTCCTTATCTCTGCACAGTACAGTCAGGTAGAAGAGTAAATAGACAAATTTCCACACAGTTATAAAATCATAGCGTATAGGAGCTGCCATTTATCCAGCCACACATTTACTCAGTTCAGGTGTTAAAAGCTAAATCAGCTCTAAATATGCTGTCAAACAACTGATTGTCCCCAAGCCCTTTATTCTGACTGGCTCCTTGGCATCATCTCTTGACTATGAATTAGCCTCTGACAGCATTATGTCCAACACAACTCAATGTTCTCAGATCTCTGTGCCTATACTAACGAAGCTGTGCAGTTATTAAGTATTTTTAACGCATCCCTAGTCAAACAGGAAGAATATTGAGAGAATTTAGAAAGGAGATTAGAGGAAGAAACATTAAGGTCCAGCATTCTGAACCTCTAGTGTTTTGTTCCTGGGATCGAACCAATTTACTTAACTGATGAGTCTTAGAGGGTATTCAAAGACAGTGTCCCCCTGGGAGGAAAGTGCTGGCTAGTACATTCTTTACTGGAGACTTACTATTTTTGCCCCTTGGGCTCTCAGAAAAGAGATCTATGAACAGTATCTTCTGCTTAAGCTTTCTCCTTGGGAGAAAACACGAGGTCTGCTGAATTCTTGGAACCAGGAGGACCAGATGAATGATAGTAATGACGCGAGTGGAGTGATGACAGCAGAACTTTGTAGCATTTGCCAGTACTATGCTTTGATTGCAAAATGTTCCCCAGAGGCTCATGTGTCTGAGGACTTGGTCCCCAGCTGACCCTTCTATTTTAAAATGTTGTGGTACTCTTTGGAGGTAGAAGCCTGCTCGAATTGGTGGGTCACTGGGGTGATGGGGTGGGCATTGAAGTTTGTTTTACTGGGGTTGGATGGGCATTGGGGTTTGTAATGCCCACCAGTTTCCTGTTCCTGTTTTCTGACTGCAGCTGCATTGTGAGTAGCTGTCTCCTGGTTCTGTTAAAATGCCATCTCCGTTGTATTTTTCTGTATCCCTTCAAGCTATGAGTCTAAAGCAAACAGCAAACTACCTTTTCCTGAAGTTGCTGCCTGTCAGGTGTTTTGTCACAATAATGAGAAAGTGATGCATCAGGTGATTTGATTAGCATTAGAGGAAGACAAACTCCGGCTTTAAATTTAAAATGTCACTTTTATCTGTAGCACTAATGGTCTCTAAGCAAACCAACGGCTGTAGAATATAGGTGTTATCTTGGTGATTATTCAGCAGAAGTTCTTCCTGCATTGTCCCAGATTGCTTAGGGTGAGCAATGTTCAGTGACTATGATATTGAGTTCAGTCTCTGGGGATTAATAATATAATATAATGACATAATGTATAATGGTATAGTATGATGATTGGTAGTTCTTTATGGCTTTATAAGCGTTTAAGTAGATTTCATGTACTAAGTTATTGAGTGTCAAAAACACATAGTACATAAGTAATATTATATTCCTCATCTGACTGAAAAATTTGGGTAAAAAGGATGTGTCTTGCTTAAAGTCAAAGGTTAAAACATGATCATGCTTGAATTTAATCCTAGAGATTTATAAGGAAGTCAATTACTGTCCCATAGAAGAGAAGAGAGGATGCCCAAATGGGAGAAACCTACTGTTATCACCCAAGCAATATCTATGACATTATATGCACAAATGCAGTGTGATCATAATTGAAGTTAGACTCTTGTAAAGGATGATTGGTTTAGGTTGCGAAAAGCCAATTACCACTTCCTGATAATCTGCAAGGACTGCATCTTTCTTCATGATGCTAGCCACATGCATGCAAAACAATGATCAACTGACTTGACCAGCCATGAGTTAACTGAACATTCACATCTGATTTATTCTCAGAAGCAGTTGCATTGGACAAGAGCAAAGCACACATCTATCCAGGGTGACCTTCTCAGGGCCAATCTAATGATCACAAAACACATGCGCTTTATTGGCTGGTTTTATCTTAAGATCAACATCTTACTTTATGCCACTTTTATACTTTTAAAATCCTTAACCAAATAAATGAAAATAAAATACATCGGAACTAAAATGATCAAATAATCTTTTAACTCCCAAGCTATCTTTCATCCCTTTCTTTTTTACATTTTTCTGTTGCTCTTGAGCAAACAGCAGCTGGAAAGTGTCATGTTGAGGCATCCATTGGCTTTCTGATCTTGGTGATTTTAATGGTGTTAAAAAGAATCTACATAGGAGTTTATTAGCCTGCTTTTAAGCATGTATGTTTGATCTCTCTTCTGACTTAAAAAAATAGAAAGAAAAAGTAATATGTATTAAATATAGTTCTTTGAATGTCAAATGGGTATATGATTTTTGAGCTTGCCAAATGTTAATTAGGCTCTTCCCCAGTGATGATACACATAAAATTCATAGCCAATTAGTTGGAAGTCATGAATCTTTACTCCTTGACAAAGTGAGCTGCTTTGTTTAGCTGAAAAAAAAAAAGAGTAGCAAGGTCTCCCTGTAAGACGTTGCAAGAGCCAGCTCTTGAGGGCCAGCTGCTTTTAAGTTGCTTTGAGTAGAAGCCAAGCTCTGGATACCCATGCAGCTCAATGAATGGTTAGAGTAGAGGTCAGATTACAGATGCCCATGCTGCTCATAGGCAGTTTAGAACTTCACTGTGGCTTTTGGAAGACGTTTACCTTAGAACTGTGAGTCAGAAGACAGATGCATTGTTGCATGACTGAAGTGAAATGCGCGGTAGAGAAGAATGTCCTGTATTTCAGCCACACTAAATCATAGCCTGTATTTTTGGGGATGCAAGATATCGATATGGTATTTTGTGATAGTGAGTGATAATGATGCAACTTCTGATTTTGTGCAGAAGAGTCCTGAGATGCCAATCACAAGGGAAAATAGTTCTCTTTATTCAGAGTAAAAAGGGAAATATGTGATTTTGCAATTGAGGAACAGAGATGTAAATTTTATGGCGGAAAAGTAGAGTCCTTTTATATATATATGTATATATATATATATATATATATATATATATATTTATAATTTGTTGCCAATATTAACTCACAAGAACCAAATGTTCAGTTTTGCTGTTGTGGGTATGGTTACCTCAGCTGATTCCTACTTTGTACCAATCTTTAAAACTGAAAAGCTATGAGAAATCCAATGGCAAGCTGAATATTTATAATTAATCATTGAAAGTTTCAATATTATTATTTTTTTTGAATTTTTTTGTATAGGCAGAATTTCAAGATTTTATTGTCTGAAGAAATGAGCTGATCCAGGTTGATGGATCCATATTTAGGTCTGAATGATAATAATTGGTATATGTCCCGTCCACACATGCAGTATATGGTAAATCTTTCAAATGACTGCTTGAAGCTTGGAGGCCAGCAAGGACCCTTTGTTGGGGAAGTCTTTTGTCAATAAAGCACTGTTGAGACAATAGGAATCTAGATAGGTGGGACTAGGAGTCCAGGAGGATTCTGGGAAGGAGAAACACAAGAGAGTCAACATGTAACGCCATGGGGTAGCAGCCCAGAACTATTCTCCGGTAAGAGACATACTTAGATTAACAATTATGGGGTAATTACTTAAAGCAGAGCTAGCCAGTAAGAGACAAGCAAGGCCAACAGCTTCATAATTAATACAGCGTCTTGTGTGTTTATTTGGGGATTACAAAGCGGCAGAGCCCAGGCAACTGGCGGGAGATAAACCAAAGCGGCTAGCAAGGTAGAGCTTCCCTTAACAACCCTTAACAAATAAATAGTTTCATTACTTCTCAAATGAAGTGTGTTTGAGTTTGTAGAATTCTACAGATAATCAAGTTGGGCACTATAAGGTAGTCTTCTATTTATCATGTAAAGGGAACATTATTTTAGAGGTTGGAAGTATTTGTTAACAAATAAAAGGCATAGTATTAGTTTCCTTCAACAGGATGCTGTAACATTATGGTGAGTGTCCTCACGAGGGTATGCATTTTCCTATGGGTCATGCAGGGCAATTGCTTAAATACACACACTTTCAAAGAGCAACACATTGCTGCTAATGAACAGTCACGCCAAAACCTGGATCCATAATATTTCCTTTGGCATCCATAGTCTTCATTTAAGCAGAACCAAACCAATGCATAAGCTGATAGAAATATTACTGGATGAAAGTGATCATATTTATGATAGTGAATATGCTTTTTTAATCTCAACAATGACAAAAATAGACTAAGAAACATAAATGTGCAGGGCAGGCTCATAAGACAGACACATCTTTCTTACACTAACATTTTTTTTTACATCATCTGAAACAATAATACAACTGATGGCACGTTTAGTCACAATATCTCTTTCTATAGATGTTAGATAAAGTAAAAACATTATTTCTGATTGTTTTGAAAGAGAATGATAAAATTAAAGCATGCTGCCTATGGCTTTGTCCAGTGGGGCATTCTAATTGACTCCCAAGTCATTAATCAGTTCCTAATCAATCTGTTTTGCTAGCAGTAGGCAGTTAGGACTCCATTACCAACCATTCATCATGCCATGCCCTAATTCACTGTGCCATTAGCCATGGAGTAGGCTTCTATTAGAATAACTAAGTGCCAACTGCTAAATGCAATGCATTTTTGTTACCTCAGCCACTGGGATCCCTTCAGGTGGCCGACACTGGAGTAAGACTTCCTGTTCCAGAGACACTTCCTTTCCCAAGGGTTCCTGCTCAAATGTCTTCCGTAGATCTAGAAGGTTTGGGTGATAAAATACATGTCAAAACTAAGTAACACCAGTATTCTTACAGAAAGTGCTCTAACTTTCCCCAGTTTATTGTATTGCATCTTGATAGCTTATCCATCTGTTGGTGTTATACCCTAATCTGACAAGTAATATTCTATGTGGAAGAAATTATGAAAGTTAAAGACTATTAACTGCACTGATTTTAATCATCAATAAAAACCTTTAATAGATTATTTTAATAATTACTGAAGTCCATTAATTGTACTTTATTATTTCTTGATAATCTACTGTGATGGTCACAGTTTTAATTAAAAGAACCAATTTCTTGAATTTTAAAGACAGAGTTCCTTATGTACATATTTTTCTTACAATTGATATTATTAAGGTTGTAATAAACCCAGCATATTTTTATTTATAAATCAAAAGTGACCTTCTGTTCAGGTTGGAAAATAGGACTCCTTGAAGATTCACAAATAAGGTATATAACTTCTGGAAATGTCTTAAAAACCCAAGGGAAAACAGAGGGTAGCTGCTGAGAATAGTCTAGAAAGAATTTAATTTCTAATCATGTAGCCATTTTCAATGAGAAAATACTTAATCAAGTATTCATATCTTCTCAAACATGCCAAGTACCTAATTATGTGCTTGTACAGCTAGAGCTATTATGGCAAAGATGCAGAAGCTTTGGAAAATACACAGAGATGGAAATGTCAGAAACCAGCCTATCATCTTACAAATATCACAGGTACATACTGTAGAGACAGCTTTAACTAACACATCCTTGAGTGAGATATAATTGTTTTGGTTTTAATAGTTTGGCTTTAAACTTTAAATAAATTTTATCTACTTTTTTGAAAGCAAAATAAATTCAGGACATTTCTTAAGAACCTCTAGAATTTTACTTTGTATGCACAGCTCAGTTATTTACAGTACAGCATTATCTTAAGTTTAACCAGCAGGTTCAGTAAAAAGAAATAATAATGCCTCTGTCCTTTCATCTATGTCCTTTGTAGCTGGAAGTTTCTTGTACCAACCACCAGTTTCCAAATAACCACTCTAAGGTTTAATATTAAGTATAACTGTTTGGCCAATGGCTCAGGCATATTACTGACTAGTTCTCACAATTAAATTAACCCATATTTACTAATCTGTGTATCACTACATGGCCATGGCTTACTGGTAATGTTCTGGCATCTTCCCTCTTAGGCAACTACGTGGTGTCTCCCTGACTCCACCTTTCCTCTGTAACTCTGTTTGATTTCTTGCCTAGCTATATTCTGCCTGGCCATTGAACAAAACAGCTTTACTCATCAACCAATAAAGGCAACATACATTTGCAGCATAAAGAAGGACAGCCCCACGTCAGTCCTTGACAAATACATCAGAATCTGAAAATACCATTTCAGGATACTGAAGTATAAGTTGGAAACCCAAAGACTCTAGAGTGATGGATTGATATGAGCTGAAATAAGACAGGAACCTTTTCAAAGGATGAGAAAAGGGCTACCGGAGGGGCATTTGTGATAGTATTATCAAGAAAATCGAGTGTATGGTTGAGATGAATATTTACAATTCAAATGGTTATCATGACCTGGAAGATATCTCAATTATATTTCTGTTTCACAAATGAGGAATATGCTCAATAAGTTACCCACAATCTCACAGCAAAATAATTGGTACTGTATTGAAGTGCACTAGCCTTTGATATTATATATATCTTGCCATCCCACACAATCCTATTAATCCTTTCTCATATCTATGTGTGCCCCACAGGAATGTAAAAGTCTTCTCTTTGTTATAGTAACTGCTGTTTGCCTTTGACATGCACTGAGGTGACCGTTTTGGTAAACATGGTAGCCAATGAAAAACATCGTGGTTAATAAATTTTATAGAATAAAACTCTTTCTCTATGGTGTGTCTTATTTGCGTAAAATGACTCTGAAGAGCTTCCATCTAGTTTGACCTAAGTAGAGGCAAAATGACTGGAATTTGCCATTAAATTAATAACATATCAACTTGATTTCACTTATCAGTATATAAAAAGGGTCAAGAACAAGAAAAAAGCATACATTCAAATAGCTAAATAAATTTCACTCGATATTTAAAATTAGACACTTATGGTAGAGATATGATGAAATGTTTAAGATAAACATGTGTCAGATATAAAAACAAGATTAAAGATAAACTGAGGTGTGTTAATGAGAAGCCGTTTGGCCCAGTAAGCAATGACCAATGTTACAAGGCCAGAGGATTGAGTTCGACTGCCATATTTCCCTAAGGATGATAGAAGGATTGCAGCAGTAGTGGGGGATCAGTTAGAGGCCAGATTGTGTGGATTGATGGGGATAATAGAGACATGTACTCAGTATATAATTGATTATAGGAGAGGAGAGAGATTCTTCAGTGTATGTAGATTATAACTTCAGAAGATTTGGGTACTTGGAGAGTGTCAGCAGGTAAGTCTGATGCTGTACTTGGTGCTATTGCATTATATCAAGATCCAAAGTTATTGAGTTTGGCAGCAAAGTGGGGGAGAAGATAACTTCCTTTTGTTACATATTGAGTTTAGTGTTTCTATGGGAGGCTCAAATGGAATTGTTCAGTATACCTAAATAATAGTTTATAATCCACAGCACTATTAAATTTTGGGACTTTGTCATTTCTTTGTGAAGCTGTTCTTTACATACCAATGAGCTTATTTTCCTCCCTTACCTCTACTCACTATATTTTGTGCTACCTTGCTCTGATATGACAAAACAGCTGAATGAAGAACATACGGAATGTCCACTTGGGTGACTGTCTCCTGCCCTGAGTGGGTTTGGCTGTCTCACTAGAAATCAATGCTTCTGACAGAGGGCATAGCACAGCATAGAGAAGAGAGGGCAGAAATATTGAAGCAGAAGGACTCTGAACAAAAATGACGGAGAATGAATCGAGAGGTGGGAGGAAACCCAAAGAGGAAAGCAACAGAGAGACCACACGGAACTAAACTTTAAGGAGAGGGGAGGTCAACAGCATGATGTAGCGGAGCTGTGAGAAGCCATTAGCTGGAGAAGTGTACAGGGCCTGGTGATATGAACACTATAAGCATCTACTATAGTATCCATGATTAAGGGACAGTACATTTGAGTACAGCGTTCTGTAATTTCTGATAGGATATGGTACAACTTTTGACAAAGTGTTTAATTTTTTGAAATAAAGTTAATTTTTAATTCATTTTACATACCAACCAGTTACTCCTTCATCTCCTATGCCCTCTCCCTCCAACCTCCCCCACCCAACCCATCCCCATCCACTCCTCAGAAAGAGTAAGGCTTCCCATGGGGAGTCAACAAAGTCTGGCACATTCAGTTGAGGCAGGGTAAAGCCCTCCCTGATCCCCGAATCAAGACAAAGCAAGGCATCCCACCATATGGAATGGGCTTCAAAAAGCCAGCTCCTACACTAGGGATAGATCCTAGTCACACTGCCAGGGGTCCCACAAACGGACAGTGTTTATATTTCTGCTACATGAGTGCACATGACTGTGGTCATTGTCTCTTGATTGAGAAAAGTTTGGCAAAAAAAAACCTACCATAGGTACCCACTTAAGAGAAAGATGCATCTGAATCATCAATAGATACTACATAATTACACTGTCTTAATGGTTGGGCTTTAGGGTCCTCATAAATTTTGCCTAATTTCTAAAACATTACATTTAATCCCATAAAGTAGATACATCTTCCTGGAAAAGCAGTTTTTTAAGTTTTGATATCAAACCTCTCTTTTGGTTTGTATAAGGATCATTTTACATACTATACTGTGGCTGTGTAAAAGGGTGTGTAACATCATTCAGAGAGATGTGATGGAAGACAGAGAATATCACATCATCCCAGCGGATGTGATGGAAGGAAAGGAGAATGCCTTGCAGGCACCGTGAACACAAGGGTGATAGAAAAATGGGTACTTGGCAGACAAGAATTAGATGTAAAACATGGTTTAGAATAACATGGGAAGTCATGTCAGGGGAAAGAAATACGAATTCTGCCTTTAGATTATATATAATAGTTAACAGGTTACTACTGTAAGGTCAACTTGATTGTGATTTTGATATATGTATATTTTATATACATATACTCGATAAATCACATATATTTACATATATGATTTAGTTATTGATCCTACCAATTAAAAAAATTCATTGTTATTCTAAGCAAGGATTCAGAAGCAGGTTGACTCCTGAACATGAATATTGACTTACTAAATCCATTAACTGAAATCCAGTTAGCAGATGTTGAATCAGACCTGCAGTAACAAGGATTTCCATTTATTTTTCTTTATTTTCTTTCTTTCTTTCTTTCTTTTTTTTTGAGACAGGGTTTCTCTGTGGCTTTGGCGGCTGTCCTGGAACTAGCTCTTGTACACAAGGCTGGTCTTGAACTCACAGAGATCCACCTGCCTCTGCCTCCTGAGTGCTGGGATTAAAGCTCAATCAAAGAATATCTTTTTTGAACATACACATGTGTGCAAAGACTCATTTGTCATTGTAGTATTTTATGGCATTCAATGAAGCTTTTGTGTAATAGTGTGGTTACACATTATTCATAGTGTGGAAAACACAAACTTTCAGAACCCTGTAAGCATTACTGAGGCTTTTGATAATGCAACAAGATGATTAGCTGGGAAATAGAAGACTAGAAAACCTCAGTTATATTTAAAAAAACTACTAGCTATTAAAGAATGCTGAGAATAGGAGAAAGAGTCTTCATCATTCATCAAGGAAGATCACATGCATTGGTTCGTCAATACCAAATGGTCAGCCTGAAAACATATACAAGTAACATTATACAGATTGAGTAGGTTATATTTAGGAATGTATATGTACACACACACACACACACACACAATTGGGAGGAAGAATAACATAATGACTAGGAACAGGTTTGATGTAGACAAATGTGGTTTCAGGTCTTGACTCCACCACTTGACTACATAGCCCTTATCTAAGTTTCTTCAGCTGGAATAG